CAATTCTTGAACGAGCCTTAGCTAATCGAGAAAATATACCTTTCATGCCTACTGATATAGAAGAATCTAATGAATATATCAATGGAACCCCCTATTATATCTTACGCTTATATGCCCACTTATCAATGGTCAAAAAGCGATGGTAACTATTACAGGCATTAAAGTTTTCTTTGATATCCGAATTCCTGACAATAAAGATATACAGTATATTTGTTTGAAAGCGAAATAAAAAATATTCTTGCCAATGAAAAGGATGACAAGGAGAAAACTGTAGATGTAGATAAGATCAGAATAGAGCATATAAAAGCATTCCCAATTCGTGGTTATCATACAGAAAAAAAGTCATATCTACGAATTTATACGAAAAACACTTTCCAAAGAAAGATAACTTTTAATATCATCCAAAAGCATAATCTAGAAACTGCATCAGATGATTGTAGTACATATTACCGCAAAGTCGCTCGTGAATACCGAATTTCCCTTACGGGGTGGGGGTTAATAAACAATTACAGTTATAGTAAAAGTTCTTCTCTTTGTTCATATGCATTTAGAGTATCTGTAAAGAATTTTCATTCCATAGAAGACTTAGATTCAATAAGTAATTTATTTCCAACTTCATATATGATACATGATCGCACTCTAGTACTAACATGGGATATAGAAACCCACACAGAACGTGGGATAAATCAATTACCTCGACCATGGCATTCAGAGGATAATGTATTATGATTTGTATGACAGTTCACTGGAGAGATGACTGAAGCAAATCTGTCTTGTCGATGTAGAAACTGAGCCAGACCCAAATTGGATCACAATCGTATGTCGAAATCAAACAAATTTATTAAAGGCATTTGCACTATGTTGGCGAGCACTAGCACCAGATATTGTAATAGATTTTAATTATTCAGACTATGATTGGCCTTTTATCGTAGAGAAGGCTAGCCGACTACATATTCTTGAATGGACGTGGTTACAAATGTCTGCGAACTCATGACAAAGTACAAACAAACAAATTTTACGTTGGAATTATTATGGAAACATGGGTAAAAACCCAGATTTCATGGGACGTTCTTCAGATATTGCTGGAAACAGTCATAAAGTGGTTAAAGAAAACGAATGTAAAGAAGATTTTAGTCGATTAGCAGTGAAAATTAAGATAAGTCCAGAAGAGTTCTTTATTTCTTCTTTTCTGAAGTTGCCGGGATGTGTTCCAATTGATGTTCGTGCAAGTTTTAAAAAACTATATCCACGATCTGAAGTGCAAAAAGGAAGCTCACTCAAGTTTTACTTAAAAATGTGTGATCTCAAAGGTAAAATTGATATGCCAATAAACCGTATGCGGGATTATTACAGAATAGCAAAAGAAAATGGTTCTATAGAGTCTGCGAAACATATGCGTGAGGTAGCAGAATACTATATCATTGATGCTCTACGATGCCAACAACTTATGGTTAAGCGTAATGTGATAAAAGACAATAAAGAAGTTGCATCAATTGCTTATGTTTCTATATTCGATGCCCATTATCGTGCAAATGGAATAAGGGTATGTAATCTCTTAGGTGCTGAAGCCTGGAAGCAGAATATACTAATTAGTATGATACCACGTAAAGATGTCGAATCTGGAAAATATCCCGGTGCCCATGTATTTTCTCCGGTAAAAGGCCTCAATAATAAGCGTCCAGTTACAGGTTTGGATTTCGCACATCTATTTTCATGATCTACAACTTTTCACCAGAAATGATGATATTAGAGGAAAAAACAGCTACGGAACTACAACAGAAAGGAATATGTCTCCATAAAATCGAATTCACATTTAATGGTCGAATATTACAAGCCTGGTCAGTATTACATGAAAACAAGATCGATAAAAAAGGTTTGTATCCATTGGTTCTGGAAAAACTTCTGGATAAACGTAATAAAATGAAGTTCTATCTTGCTATTCTAGGTGAGAAAAGGAGTATATAGAATTGGTTATTAGTCAAATGAAAGAGAGGAATTTATCATTAAAAGATGCTATGGATAATGTCTTGGATAAAGCAAAAAAATAAAGAAGAGCGTTCTGCTATGATCAAAATCTTAATAGAGATTATAACGTTTTTATAGCAGAATATAAATCTGTATGTTTTGACTATACCTATTTGGACTCAAAACAAAAAGCAGTAAAAGTTTATATGAATTCATTTTATGGTGAGACCGGTAATAGTCTATCCCCGTTCTTTTTACGCCATATCGCTGAAGCTGTTACTTCAGCAGGTCAGTTCAATATTAAGCTTGTTGCAGAATACGTACTAAAAAAGGATATAGAATTCAATATGGTGATAGTGATTCATTATATCTCACCTGCCCCGAAGTTAATTATAAGAAATGTGATCTTGCTTACAGAAACAATTCAATTTCAACACTAGAGTATTGGACCGAAATGGATAATATTACTATGAAAGTAATGGAGAAATTGCGCAATGAAGTGAATACTTATCTTAAGATAAAAAGTAGATCAACTTATCGCAAAATGGCTTATGAGGAGGTATTATTTCCTGTTGTCTTTAAAAGAAATATTTTGGAATACCACATAAGATATTCCAAACTTTAAGCCAAAAAAGTTATTTATTAAAGGGATCGATACTGTGAAACAGGGACAATCAAAACTCTTTATTACAATTGGTGAACGAATTATGTGGAAAGCTATGGAAGTCAAGGATGACCAATCACTCCATAAAATTGTTGAATATGTTCTTAGGGGTGCCGTAACAAATTCTAAACAATGGGAGTTTGACCAGTTCATCCAAACTGATACGTGGAAACCCAATGTTCAAAATTTAACTGTTCAGCGGTTCATAGAGCGAATGAAAAAAACCTATAAAAATAAGATTCCCGAACCGGGCGAGCGTTTCAGTTATGTAATACTCAAAACTGATATAGATTTTGATTTATCTGGTAAAAAGTTAAATCTAACCAAGAGTGACCGAGTAGAATTTGTTGATGTGGCAAAGGAACTCGGAAAGGAGATAGACTTACTGTATCATATTAACTTCAAAATAAAATTATTGGCCTTTGTGCCAGATTTATCAACTATGACGATAGATACCAACCACCGCCCTCTGGTAAGATCTGGCAACTAAAAAACTCAGATGAGAAATATAAACAAATTGATGAGTATTCTCAGAAAAAAGCCAAGAAATGGCTCGAGGAATATATACAGTGTGTTAAGAAAGTCTTTGGACACAGATTTTTATTTATAATTTTATAACCAATACATTATATCACATGATTTATAGCTTAAATGAAAGCTTAAAATGATATGAACAAAATAAAAAAAAATTAATATGAAATTTGTTTATCCCTATTTTTAATTACAAGCTAATAACACTCTTTTATTGACTTGATTAAATTTACTATAGTTTTGTTTAATACATTTTCTCACTTCTCAATCATAAATTGATACAATTTTTTATATTTTTAGGTTGTTATACAATATTTCTACACCTCTCTTGATAATGGATGGATCCACTCTACTTACTTCTTCTTATGTACTTTAGTAAGCATTAATATTGTTAAAGAAAGCTTTTTTAAAAATTTATGGCTATTTAAATGATGCAAAATCATTACATGTAAGACATTTACTCTTTTTTCTCTTATTTTATTTATTAAAGTTCTTGTTAATATAGTCAGATCTTATCTAATAATTTGTTCCAACATATTTGAAGCCTTTAGTAATATTTTTTTAAGATGATCAAAACATTTCTTATGAATTATAGATCCAATTTTTTTTAATTTATTGATAATATAATAAATAGTGGACTTTTGGAAACCTGTTCTATGCTGAATTTCGGTAACATCTTTAATACTGTTTTTCCACAAATGTTGTATAGAAATGGACTGCACAGATTGATTGATGATCTTTATATTATCTGTTATAAAAAAAAATTTCAATAGATAGAATAGATTGTTAATATAAGACAAATAATAGGTGAAATAATGAAGTTGTAATATATTTAATTTGGAGCTATTCAAATTTAAATTGGATAAGTTGTGTAACTTTTAATTTTATTGGTAATTGTCCAAAGACTTTCTTAACACACTGTAGATAGCTTGAGTGGTATTGGTCCCAAAATGACGCTTAATCGCGGATATGCTTACAAACGCGATTACAAGAATGCAATCAAAACCGCGCAATCTATATTATATCAGAAGATAGGCAATACCCACGAGATATTTCATGGAGAACGGCTTAGTTTTGAGGATTTTAAGGCGACTAATACTGTTGAGAGATTATGGGAAAGGTTCGTAAAGTATGCTAGAGCATATACTAAAAATGATAATCTCTTGATAAGTGAAGAAATAAAAAAATCTATATGCACCGATTTTGCAAAACGTCTAAATGTACTCATCCCAATTATCAAAAAATACGATATCTCTTTTCATCAATTAGTATACTCACCACGATTAAACCTTGTAAATATATCATTAAGGAGGTCACGACTGCCCCCCCCCCCCCAATATCCCTTCACGTGATCCTTAAGGTAGCGAGGCATATCAAAGGTCAAATAGCCACCGGATAACTTATCATGTCTAATTCAGGTCCATTCTCACCGGGGGACTGGAAAAAACCATCGACCTTGATACCAAGGGTTTGTCATCTGTAGGTTTGAGATCACGTCTTAATAATCGCTGGTTTGCACTAGCTTTAAGACAAATCTTACCTCTATATTTGAAAAGAAACTTGCATTTTAATGTTGCAAAGAAAAAAAGAATAAAAATCGAATGTAGATTTGATATTAGAATCGAAAAACATACGGTACGTATATAGGATGACCAGTTACTGCATTTGCAAGATACTGTAACACCGGATGAATCATGAGTGAGCCCAAAATTGCTTCATTTTTATTCGTACTGTGAAAATTGACGCAGTGTTGAATACATTTTTTGCACTTTCAAATTAAATAAGTTAATAAATAGAAGATAATAAATAAATGGTACTATCTCTGCAAAAACCAACATACTTACAACCACATAAGGACATCCATTACAAATTCCATTTCCTTATCGACTTCATCGAATTTGGCTTTACGAAGACATTGTTTATACTCCATTAACGAGTTCTATTATTAATTAATAAATGTAAATAACAATTTCATTAAAAAGAAAGGTTAATTTGTACTTACAGTCTCTAACAGTGCAGTAAAGAGATTTTCCACATCAGAAGACAAATTATAATTTGGATGTTCAACGCTAGCTTGTAAATAATCCCAGTCATTTTGTTCAATCCATTCTGGTTTACGAACTTTTGCACCAATGCGTATAATACCTAGACGTGACGGGCTATATGTACAGTATATAAATGGATAAGATTACAGGTTAGATTGGAAAGCGTGTTAGATAAAAAGGCATAAAGAGAAGAAATGATGAATGTGAAACTTACTGAGATTTATGCAGATTTTCAGGACCACGGATTACTTCTTTAATCGATTTTCCGGAAGGCAATACCCAAATATCGTTTTGGCTGTTTTTGTTGGGATACTTTAAGTGTTTTTTAAAAGATAAAGATATTTTCTCATATAACTTGGATTCTGTAGATGTGATGTTTGGATCTATATTGAGTGCCTCAATGTCGTCAAGATCTGCTGTATCATCTGATCTGTCATCGAAAGCAGGCTTCTCCATATTCTGTGTATAAAGAGATGTGATGTTTGGAT